ATCAATAATTATTCCTTGTTTTGTGTATATTTATTGAATTGTGGAGAACTTGCATCAGTAATGGTGGTGTAATCACTAGCCGTCGTTAATCATCGATATAATAAGAGTGTTTTGTAAGTTAATATTTGACTCGTCTATTTTCCTAATCAAGATACTTGTTTGGCAAAGTTTAAATGATAATTTAAGCTGATTAAGTATAATTTTATTCATATATTTCGTATGATCATACTTTTCAAATGACTTTCAACTTATAAGTACTTAAGAATATTGTCAAACAAATACTAAGTTTAAGTGACGAATACGTACGAAAATAGAATGTTTATGAAAATATTTTAATGCAAGAAGAGTTTTAGCTAAGCTTAAAAAGTTTAACATAATAATAATAATAATAATAATAATAATAATAATTAGCAATTAATATAAGTAAATTATTTTATACTTTCGTTTTAATTAAAAAATTTACACATAAAAAAAAAAATTATCTTTTCTTTTATGTCAACCAACAATTCTTGAATAACAGTGACTTTGTACTAAGCCAACGCGGTATAATTGAACAAAGATACCGCAAAAAGTAGAACGGTAGGAAACATTCAACGCCTTCTCCGTTACGGCTTCCCGGCCGAACTTTAATAAAATAAATATATCTTAATGCATACGTCAACAGAATAGAGATAAAAAATTAAAAAGGGAAATTTACAAAAATGTCTAATTTCATGATTGTGAATTAAAAAGGTCTAATTTTGATTACTCTTGTAAAAATGGCCAAATTTGATATCAAATTCTCTATTATACCCTTATTGAAAAATGAAACAAATTTTTTTTTTCCAATTTGTCATGAATTTCAAGAAAAACAAGTGGCTTCCATGAGAAACAATATTAGTGCTAGCTAACTAATGGATTCATTTACTTTCATTATCTATTAAGCCACGATTGATTCCTTTTACTTTACTTTAATTTATATCTCATACTTATTTTTAATCGCACATTCACACAATAAAATAGTCTATACGTAAACTCAATTTTTTTTTAAACTACACTTTCTCTAAAAAAAAATACTATTCAAAACTATATTTTTTCAATTTTAAGGCCACCAAATAGGGACTAGGTGTCTACCAATGATTTTAGGAAAATGATGAAGTAGAAAAGCAATTAGCAATTTAAAAAAAAAAAACTATATGCTTCCAATTCATAAGAAAATGATATAATTTCATTTCACGAAATTTAAGCTCATTCAAATTTGCGTGTTGATTATGTTCTTCACAATTCTTGGTAAAAGGCAACTGTTATTTGAAATCTTATTTTTGTTGATAGGTTGTGTTTAATAATTGTTGTTCTTGACATTTAATGACGTTCTCAATATTTGAACCCTGTTTATCTCAACACTTGATACTTCATTTGTGTAGAACTAAATTTCGTTTCAAACATGAAAGTTTTCTATATTTCATAAAGTTTTTGATATTTTAAATGCAGTTCTTTACATTTCATAAATGTTTTATTCACTCACTTATAGGAGAAGTAAACATTTAATGCATGATTGATATGGTACTTCTTTAAATAAGTAGTATGAGTTATGTGTCCGGTTATTATTAGTCAATATAATTTTTGTTTATATAAATGAGTTTTTTCTGTCGTGGAATATAAAATTGCTAATGAGGACATTTTGGTCTAAATCATTTTAAGTGGATATTGAACAAATTTTGTAGATTTTTACAAATGACCATTTAAGCTCTCGTTTGTTTTTCATTTTTGAAAAAATGAAAATAAAAAATATAGTCGTTACGGGTCTTACACAAGTGATAGAAATTCAAATTCGGTGATTTGATGTGATAGATAACGATCATATTTTTTAGTTTAGGGTGTATTTGATAGGGTGGAAATGAAATTGAAAGATGGAATTGGAATTGAATTTTCCAAATTTAGGTATTTGATACAATTTTTTTTTCCATGGGATTCGAATTCTAGGTTGTCATGAAGTTTGGAATTTTCTTGATTTTTAAGAAAAATCAATTCCGACTATATATGGTGGGAAATTGGTTTTCCTACCTACTGTAGCACTTTTTTTTTCCTTTTTTTTTATTGGCAATGGAAACAAATTTTAAGAATTATTGTAAAAAAATATTTCTCTTTAAATAACAATTTTCATGTAAAACAAAGTCAAATGAACATCAAAAGATAGATGATTTTCTTAAATTTTTTTCTTTTGTGTTGACAATGGAAACAAATTTAATCTCCAATACTAGTGAAATCTATCCCTCTAATTGACAAATTTCATGTAAAACAAAACCAAACGAACACCAAAAAATATTTTTATTTCAACATTTTTCACGTGAAAAATTATACCAATCAAACACAATAATTTACAATTTTCAGGAAAATAATTCTAGACAATTTAATTTCCTAAAATTCATTTTTTAGATAATTCAATTTCATCTTTGTAATCAAACGACCCCTAATTTGAAAAAAAATGAAACGAAACAGGGCTAAAAGTATACATTTGTGGCATTTTCCTCAAATTTCAAGGTAGACCGTCGCATCCTTGACTTTATGTGCGCGATTAATATACACGCATATCAATTCGCCAATCTGCTCCTAAAGATCCCTCCCTTCCAGATTTCGTCTTTTCTAAATTTTCTGTAGTTTCACTTTTTATAGATAATATAATTTGTTAATTGTCTCTATAGTGATGGCAAGTTCTGAGGAATCTAGCCCCCTTTTGACGAAGCAAAATCAAGAACAACAAACAAAGGATGAAAAGGGATCCAACACCACTGCCAAACCCGGTGCAGCTCCTCCGCCTGCGGAGGCTATGAAGCAATCGACACCGGCGGTGCCAATGGGCTGGACCGCTGATGGGGTGCCCATGAGCTTTTTAGGTGAACCGATGGTGCAAAGGTCCCAGTGGGACTCCGGTCTCTTCTCTTGCCTTGGAAGGAATGATGAGTTCTGCAGCAGCGATCTCGAAGTTTGTAAGTTTGCTTCTTTTTAGTTTTGAGGCAAAGAGATTTTATTAAGGGGTATAGATTTGATTTTGATTTTGATTTATTGGACCTTTTTAGAATTGGGTAAATTTACTGGATCTGGTTTTGGGGGTTTAGATCTCAATTTTTCTTATTTAAATTATATGATCTAAAATTTGCAAAAGTTTAATCATATTGGTATACATGAATAGTAGAGAATAATCTAGCCAGGGAAATATTGAGATTTTGGGGTTAAGCGTGCATGTTTGGCACATAGTACTAGAATTGGAAAGGATTGGACACTGTAAATGGCCAACGTTTTAGCTTTTTTTATTTCTTAGTAATATGATATCCTCTTATCCAACGCGTACTAAGCTTCTTGAAATATCCTATGATTGCAGCATACTCCGTATCTTCACTTCATTCCACGGATTTATTTTTGAACGTTTCAATTGCTCTCGTATTCATGTTCTTTCAAGAGGACTTCCTTTTGAGTGTTCAGATTTTTAATTGTTAATTGGTCTGTTTCTTTTGTTGCAGTTATTGATATGCTTCCATGGTCTGTATTTTCCCTAACTCATTACAATTTGATACTGAGCAGGTTTGCTAGGTAGCGTGGCTCCATGTGTGCTCTATGGTAGCAACGTTGAGAGACTTGGATCAGCTCCCGGTACTTTTACCAATCACTGTTTGTCTTACACTGGTCTTTACTTTATTGGAAAGACCCTTTTTGGCGGGAACTGCCTAGCGCCTTGGTTTTCATATCCATCTCGCACAGCCATACGGCGGAAGTTTAACTTAGAGGTTTGTTGTCTTCTTAAATTTGAGTGACATCCCATCTTAGGAAACTAGTAGTTATTTCTCTGTGATTATCATGATTATGCCAAACTTTTCTTTGCTTTGCTTCTGAACTATTGCTGAAAACTGAAACATAGTGCTTTGTGCATAAGCGTAAAAGAAATTATTTCCATTACATTTTCATGTATTTATATCATGGTTTTTAGTATAAAGTGCAAAATGAATACGACGATGAGAGTGATATTAATGAGAAATGACAATTGTCAAATGAATCATTATTTTTTAGTAGTTCGTAGTTACAAATATAATTTCCATTATATTTGAGATCTAATAATGTTATTTGCACTCTATTCTTCTACGTTTCTATAAGTTAATTTTACTGAATTAATTAAGTTTATATCATAATATGTCACTAAGAGTTCAAACCATGATTTTATATATATTTCAGTCTTCCACATTGATGGAATTTCATTTTTTGCATGCAATTCGTAACCTCTCCTTATTTTTATGTGGCAAGTTAGGGCCACAAACCATTCACTTTGCACAATTTTAGCTTCCTATCATTTAAAATCGAGGTTCTGGGTCCTCAACCTATTTATCAATGTGGACATTAAAAAGATTTTTTTTTCTTTAAAATTGCCAATATGCCCTTACTATGAATTAAATATCAAAAGCAAAGGAAAAAAATCATCAAACAAAAAATAAAGAAAGGAAAGGGGAAAAAATATTCACTTTCTTCCCCATCTACCCCACCCCACTGCCAGGGCACCCCTACCACCTCCCCATTCTAAAGCTCTATTTCTTGCTATGGACATTTCTATGTCTTGTACAATGTATGTATTCCTCTGAGTCTGAACCCTCCACCCTATTTTTCTTCTTCTTCTTGAACTTTTTTTATATCTCCACATTTTGATAATTTCACCAAAAAAATAAAATAAAATAAAATTCACTACTTCAATAACAAATCTCGGAAGAAGCTTCTTATTACAAGAAACATAATAACAATGATAAGAAAAATGAATTGAAATCCAATTTTTTTTTTGCTTTTTCAACACAAAAATTTATGCGAATACTTTAAAAGTTATAAAAAATGACGAAAGTTTGAGTTGAAATATAGACTCGGCTGTACTTTGGATTGGTATTCTGATCGGGATGCAATTTGGTGGGTTTTCAGCTGTTTGTTGTGATTTGAGTTGCATAATATAGTGTCTAGAATGAGAGGTGATGGCAGTAATCGAGGTTGTGTGGGGTTGATGGGGACGATGAGTGATTTTTTTCCCTCTCATATTCTTGTTTAACGGGTCTTCTCTCTTTTTTATTCCTTTAATATTATTTCAAGGTAAGTGCAAAATAGTCATTTTAAAGAAATTTTGACCTTTTACCTCCATTTTAATAGTTTTAGTGACGTGGAGCCAGATTCACAGATTTAAATAGGTAAGGACTGGAGTTTTAAACTTTGAGGAGTTGGAACCACACTAGAGGAAAGGTTGGGGAGCCTCGTCTTAATTTTCCCTTTTTATGTTTGATAAAATAGAAATGCAAAATTTTTTATTGCTTTCTCAAGAGAGTCGAGACTTCCCGTATGATTGCCGTCTGCTTTTCCCTTCTCTTTTATGAACAGAGAGAAGAAAAGTACCCCTGGTAGCTGAAGGAGTTTGCCGCTTGGAGTCGGGGTCTTATGTAGTCTGCTGTTTGTTTTGAATAAGCCCTAGTCTTTAGGGATGTTGTCTCATTTGAATTATTCCAAGTTCTGTTATTCACGTAGCTGAGTTAATGCTATCGTAAGCTGCATTTATGCTTTCAGTTAGGGTTGTAGTATGGCTATAAAGCTAGGTTCTTTGTACTTCAATAAAGAAGTCATTCATTCCATTTTGTTAAGAGTCTTTGCATAATTTTATTCAATTATTTCTAACAAGTGGTATCAGAGCCCCACTGGGCTGAAAGAGAGAGGAAAGCTGCAGTCTTTCGATTGACTTCAAGAACAGGAGAGTTTGAGAGAGATGTCAAGTGAAGGTTCCTTCGTCCAACCAGCTATCCCACGTTTCGATGGTCACTACGACCATTGGAGCATGCTCATGGAGAACTTCCTAAGGTCCAAGGAGTATTGGAGTTTGGTCAAGACAGGGTTTGAGGAGCCAGAAGTGGGAGCAGCTGCGACAGAGACGCAGCAAAGGAAGCTTGAGGAGCTGAAACTTAAAGAGCTTAAGGTGAAGAACTATCTTTTCCAGTCGATAGACAGAACTATTCTGGAAACCATATTGGACAAGGGTACTGCTAAGAAGATCTGGGACTCGATGAAGAAGAAATTCGAGGGGAGTGCTAAGGTGAAGCGCTCGGTTCTTCAAGCGTTGAAGAGAGAGTACGAAACTCTGGAGATGAAGGTAGGAGAGAGCATTACTGAATACTTTGCTCGTGTTATGACAATAGCTAACAAGATGAGGGTGAATGGAGAACAAATGAAAGATGTCACCATTGTGGAGAAGATTCTTAGAACTTTGATAGACAAATTCAACTATGTAGTTGTCTCAATTGAAGAGTCTAAGGATATTGATGCACTCACTATCGATGAACTACAGAGCTCACTCATTGTGCATGAACAAAAGTTCAATAGAAGCAATGGAGAAGAACAGGCTTTGAAAGTGACCATGGATGAGAGAAATGGAGGAAGAGGGCGTGGCAGAGGCAACTACAGAGGAAGAGGTCGAGGAAGAGGGCGTCAAGTGTTCAACAAAGCCACCATCGAATGTTATCGTTGTCATAGGCTCGGCCATTTTCAGATTGAATGTCCTACATGGGACAAGGAGGCCAATTATGCCGAGTTAGATGAGCATGAGGAGATGTTGTTAATGGCCTATGTTGAAGAGCATGAGGTCAAGCGTGAGGACGTATGGTTTTTAGACTCGGGTTGCTCTAATCACATGTGTGGAGATGCAATGATGTTTAGTGAGTTAGATGAGAATTTCAGGCAGCAATTAAAGCTCGGGAATAATACCAGAATGACAGTAAAAGGGAGAGGAAATGTCAGATTACATGTGAATGGTTTCGATCATATCATCACAGGAGTTTTCGACGTGCCAGATTTGAGAAATAACCTCTTGAGTATAGGGCAATTACAAGAAAAGGGGCTTGCAATTCTCATCCAGGCAGGACTGTGTAAGATATATCACCCAGACAAAGGCTTGATTATTCAAATTGCTATGTTAGCAAATCGGATTTTCATGTTGCTTACTAATACACAAGGATGGAAGGTAGCCTATTTTTGACACGAGTGGACAAGATTTTTCTCATTTAAGAAATCGAAGATATGGTCATTTAAGCCATAAAGGTCTAACAACCTTGCAAACCAAGAATATGGTACGTGGTCTACCCCATCTTGCTCCTACCACAATAGTGTGTACTAATTGCTTGAGAGGTAAGCAACACCGAGAGTCCATCCCTAAGAAAAGTGTATGGAGAGCAACTCAGAAGCTGCAACTCATACATGCAGACATCTGTGGTTCAATAACTCCAACGTCAAATAGCAAGAAGAGGTATGTCCTATGCTTTATTGATGATTTTAGTAGAAAAGCATGGGTGTACTTTCTAGTAGAAAAGTCAGAAGCTTTAAATTCATTTAAAAGCTTTAAAAAGCTGGTTGAGAAAGAGACAGGCGTGTATATTAAGTGCTTACGCACTGATAGAGTGGGTGAATTCAACTCAGACGAGTTCAATGAGTTTTATAAACATTGTGGCATCAAAAGGCAGCTTACCAATGCTTACACTCCACAACAGAATGGGGTGGCCGAGAGAAAGAATCGGACAGTAACGAACTTGGTTCGTTCAATTCAGAAAAGAAGATTCCAAAAACTTTTTGGCCTGAGGCAATGAATTGGACCATATATGTTTTAAACAGAAGTCCCTTTGTAGCTGTCAAGAATGTCACTCCTGAAGAAGCATGGTCTGGTGTGAAGCCTTCAGTGGAACATTTCTGAGTTTTTGGGTGTGTGGCACATGTTCATGTGCCAGATGCTAGGAGGACTAACCTTGAAAACGAGTTTTGAATGTGTGCTTCTAGGAGTTAGTGAGGAATCAAAGGGCTACAGGTTGTATGATCCGGTATCAAAAAAGGTGGTGACTAGCAGAGATGTAGTCTTTGAGGAAGACAGAGAATGGGAGTGGGACGTGAGTTATGAAAAGCAGGTGTTGTTAGATCTTGAATGGGGTGATGATACAGATAACACAGAAGAACATGAGGCAGAAACGGATGAAAATGATGAAGCATCTAATGAAAACAATGGAGAAGCTGAGGTTAGTGAAGAAGATCAAGAAACAGGAGATGATACCTCTAGTCCTGCAAATGAAGAAGAGTCTAGTGCAAGAGAAGGAAGAGCCAGACAGGTTCCTAGCTGGATGGAGGACTATGTTAGTGGTAAGGATCTATTCGAGGAAGAAAACGAGCTCAACATGACCTTGATTACACCTGAAGATCCCATCAGTTATGAAGACGCTGTAAAGAACTCAAAGTGGAGATTGGCAATGGACTCAGAGATTAATTCTATTGAGAAGAATCAGACTTGGAGGCTTACTGATTTGCCGGCTGGAACTAAAACCATTGGAGTCAAATGGATCTATAAAACAAAGTTAAACGAACATGGAGAAGTTGACAAGTATAAAGCTCGATTAGTGGCCAAAGGGTATTCGCAACAGCAAGGAGTAGATTTCACTGAAGTTTTTGCTCCGGTAGCACGAATGGACACAGTGAGAATGATAGTAGCACTTGCAGCACAAAGGGACTGGAAGATCTATCAGCTAGATGTCAAATCAGCGTTTCTTCATGGTGAACTCAGTGAGGACGTGTATGTGGAGCAGCCAAAAGGTTATGAAAAGAAGGGAAGTGAGCATAAAGTGTATAAGCTATACAAGGCTTTATACGGACTAAAACAAGCTCCACGAGCTTAGTTCAGCCGTATTGAGGCTTATTTCATTAATGAAGGATTCCAGAAATGTCCAAATGAGCAGACCTTATTCACCAAAAGGAGCAGTGAAGGTAAAGTGTTGATAGTAAGTATTTATGTGGATGATTTAATTTACATTGGTGATGATGAAGATAGGATGGTTGATTTTAAGAGCTCCATGATGAAAGTGTTTGACATGACTGATTTGGGGATGATGAGGTTCTTCCTTGGCATTGAGGTGTTGCAGAAATCTGATGGCATTTTCATTTGTCAAAAGAAATATGCCACTGAAGTGTTAAGGCGTTTTGGGATGCTTGAGAGTAATCCAGTAAGTAGTCCGATTGTGCCAGGGTTCAAGATAAGTAGAGATGATTATGGGGTCAAAATTGATGATACGTATTTCAAGCAGTTGGTGGGAAGTTTAATGTATCTTAATGCAACTTGTCCAGACATTATGTTCAGTGTTAGTCTGATCAGTAGGCACATAGCTAAACCGACTGAACTTCGCTTACAAGCTGCCAAAAGGATATTGAGGTACTTGAAGGGCACTGTCAACTATGGGATTCTCTATAAGAAGGGAGGAAGAAATGAAGAGCTGCTTGCTTTTACAGATAGTGATTATGCAGGAGATGTAGAGGATCGTAAAAGTACATCCGAGTATGTGTTTCTCTTGAGCTCAGGAGCAGTTTCATGGTTATCCAAAAAAACAATCCATAGTTACTTTGTCTACCCCCGACGCTGAATTTGTGGCAGCTGTTGTTTGTGCTTGTCAAGCTATATGGATGAGAAGGGTGTTGAAGAGGCTAAGTCATGCACAGGAAGGTTGCACTACCATTATGTGTGACAATAGTCCAGCAATCAAGCTCTCACGGAATCCAGTCTTGCATGGGAGGAGTAAGCATATCAACGTACGGTTTCATTTCTTAAGAGACCTTACAATGAACGGTGAAATTGAATTAATTCATTGTGGAACGCAAGAGCAAGTAGCTGATTTGATGACAAAGCCGTTGAAATTAGAAACATTTAAAAAACTCAGAGGGATGATGGGAGTGTGTAAAGCTACAAATGTAAACTAATTGCATTCTGCAGTTAGTTTAAGGGAGGGAATGAAGGAGTTTGCCGCTTGGAGTCGAGGTCTTACGTAGTCTGCTGTTTGTTTTGAATAAGCCCTAGTCTTTAGGGATGTTGTCTCATTTGAATTATTCCAAGTTCTGTTATTCACGTAGCTGAGTTAATGCTATCGTGAGCTGCATTTACGCTTTCAGTTAGGGTTGTAGTATGACTATAAAGCCAGGTTCTTTGTACTTCAATAAAGAAGTCATTCATTCCATTTTGTTAAGAGTCTCTGCATAATTTTATTCAATTATTTCTAACAGTAGCAAGTGGTAATTTACATCCTTCGTGAGTTATAAAACTCTCTTGACATGTTTTACCGTATTGTTGGGACTATGTTTAAACGTCGATTAAAATCTGCTCCTGAACCCAGATGATCTCAAGTTGTAATGGTTGCTTCCTTGGTCAATAGACGACTTTTAGATTTTATCATTTAAAACTTTCTTCAACTAGTGGAAATTTATTGCATTATTCCATGGTGGAACCTTATGAGAGGATATAAAATCTGTCTTAACGATTTGATTGTCATTAACAGGGAAGCTGCGAGGCGCTGGCCAGATCCTGTGGATGCTGCGGAAGCCTTGTCGAAGATGAAATACAACGCGAGCAGTGCGAATCAGCCTGTGATTTTGCAACTCATGTCTTCTGCCATGCATGTGCTCTTTGTCAGGAAGGACGTGAGGTTCGTCGTAGGCTTCTTCATCCCGGGTTCAATTCCCAACCAGTCTTGGTCACAATTCCACCAGGCGTACAGACCATGGGTCGTGGGGCCTAAGTATCTGCCTAAGCACGAGCAACTTGGATATTTCTATAATTTGGATATTTATATTCAGAACGTTTGTTCAGCTACATTATGTAAAAATTATGCTTGCAAGTCTCAACTTTGTCCCTAAAAAAAAAAGAAAAAAAAATGTGGTCGGTAGAATGGTGATATTATTATGTCTTTGTTTAAAACATATAATAAGCAATATCGAGGATTACCTGTAGGAAAAAGTATAATGTACTTCAGTATTTTGAGACAGTTGCTCGTATCGCGTTGTGAGATTGCAAAGTTAGTCTCAATCGCTAGGGATGTCAAACGGGCCGACGGTTTGTCGGCTCGGCCGCTCGGCTCGTCAAAATTCGGCTCGTGGGCAGTTCGGGCTCGTCATTCGCCTCGGCCTCTTGGCTCGTCAAAACTCGGCTCGTGGGTAGTTCGGGCTCATCATGCCTGAGCCGAGACGAGCTTGTTTGGCTTGTCGAGCCCATGAGCCGAGGCTCGTCAAAAAATATTAATTTTGTTTTAAAAAAATATCCAAAATGTGCAAATTTACCAAAAAATTAAAAAATATTAAAAAAATCACGAGTTCATGAGCTTATGAGTTCGGCTCGAACCATTGTCATCACTATCAATAGCGCTATGTGTAACCTCTGCTTTACACTGCTGTTGACACGATGGCGTGGCAAGTGGAAAGGAATTCAAACTTTAAAACAATAAGCTGGGTGGAAACTTGAACCAGCCCAATTATAAAGAAAAAATTCTTCATTTCCCCCCAAACCAGAGAAACCCTTGGAGGCGAAACGTAGTTCGAAGTCCAACACTCCTCCACCTCGACCGGAATTCCATCGCCTCCAACGGAATCTCACTGCAACCTTTCATTTTCACTTTTCCCCAAACCAAGAAAACCCTAGAGGCGACACTTTGGTTGAAATCCAGCGCTCCTCCATCTCAACCGAAGTAAGAAGCCGGTGGAAATTTGTCCTTTTATACACCATCCATCGCCTCCGGCGGAATTTCGTGGTAAGCATGATGTGTATCCATTTTCCTCGATTTTACTGTTTTCGAAAAATACAATCGTTTGAAGATTTTGCAGTGGTTTGTGGTTGTTGTGTACTGCAGCGTAATATGTTGTTGAAATGTCGGAGATAGATAATGTATAGTAAGCAGCAACGAGCTGATGATCAACAAGAAGATAGCCATCAGACGAAACATGATGATGCAGGGTAGAAACCTCATTGAAGACCATTCTGTCACACAACATTTTTTTTCCCTTTTCTGTTAGATTCTGTTGTATAGCATTTTTTTCAGCCAATCAGTTCAATTTGTGTAAATATTCTAGATCCTTCTGTATATATACGTGTGGAGTTGAACAATTGTAACAAGAAGAAATTATTTTCAATAAAATTATTCTTCCAGTATACATCTGGTTCTTTTTATTCTCCCTTTTGCAAAGGGAGCAATCCATTCCTTTGTTTTCTTATATATGTTGTTTGTTCGTGTGCAATATGCCAGGGAAGAACTCCAGAGTACGTCATAGTTGTCGCGAGAAAGGTCACTTCTTTGCGGATTGTCACGAGAAGGGTCACTTCTTTGCGGACTCCTCCAAAAAAGGGCACTGCCCTTGTCATCAGTTTTGCTTCCTACCACTTTTGATGTGTAGTGTGTGTTCCGTTATGTGCAGTGTGTTTTGTTATGTGTAGTTTGTGTTCATTTGGGTGACTGTAATATATGGTAAGGATGTTGGTTTGGGGAATTAGTACAACTAATTTGTGTTCTTGACTTTAGTATTTGGGAAGAATCTGTAATTTTCGTTCACTGCTTCTATCTCAGTAATGTCAATGTTTGTCAATGTGATTGAAAACATGTTGTTTCCAGTTCACCAATTGCCTTTATTGATGCTTATACATTGTTATACAACATCATCTTGAGTTAAACAACAATTGGTGCAAAAAATTGACAAGATGCTTCCATTTCCTAAATGATGTGCTGCTGATGATGATACATTGTTATACACTGAAGCAAAAATTGGTGCAAAAATTGACAACATTGGCAACATTGTTATACATTGATGCTTAAACAAAAATTGACGGGCTGTTGTTGATGACCGAAGAACAGCATTCGAATTAAAGCATATAAATCTTCATCTCGGTCCTAAAGACTCTTTCGCTTGAGCTTTCCTGTAATACAGTCAAAGATAATTTCCCATGAAATTATGATTTTGAAACAAGTTTTTAAGAAAGAATAGCTAGATTAGATGAAGCAGGTTCAATTTAGTACATGAACATTGAACAAAGGACATAAATGTCAAACAATTATCTATAAACTAGAGGGAACAAATATGTTTGTTACCTCTTTAACAGATGTACTATGATCCATTGTGAGCTGACAAGAACTCAAATTATGTACATTCTCAAATTCATCGCCATAAAGTATTTCATTTGAATCCTTCATCGGCCTCCCATTGTTTTGTGTCTTTCTCGCTAAAGCTGTTCGACTATCCCCAACATTCATTAAGTAAACATCAGCACCCTTCATCGCCATCACCAGAACACAAGATCCCATCAAGGCCTACTCTGGAGTCTCAATTAGCATCATATCCCCGATTTCCAGCTCCACTCTTTCCTTACTATCCACATTTCTCCCTTAATTTTCTATCCAACTCCACTCTTTCCTTACTATCCACATAAGCTTAATGCTGCCATCACCACCCACAATTTCCATTCAAAGCGGTCACAACAATGAATATTGGACTTTTCAAATCCCTTTTTGCAGGTGAAATTTATCATCAAGCAAAGAGAAAAGGACTTAACAACCCTTACCTTATTATAAACTGCAATCAACATTATATGGAACAAAATCATAAGGAAAAGGATATCAGTGGTACAATGTGCATTGCAACTGATGCTATGCCTCAGTAATTCAGATACAATGTAAAAGCTCTAAATCGTAAACAGACTTCAACAATTCAGATACTATGTTTTAGCTCTAAATCATATACAATTTATGCACATTTATTAATTCAGATACAATGTAAAAGCTCTAAATCGTAAACAGACTTCAACAATTCAGATACTATGTTTTAGCTCTAAATCATATACAATTTATGCACATTTATGACAATAAAAGCTGCACATCATATACAATTCAGATACTTACAGCATCTTTCTCTATCAAAAGACTTCTCAACTTCAATTTCTTCAATAGTTGCACATCTCAATATACTGGCTCTGATAATTTATCAAGGGAAAACGGAAAACAAAGCAAAGCCCACGCAATTAACGCTATAACAGGAGTCATTCATTAAGCTAGCCATAATTGCATTAAAGTTTTGAAACTTAACTCGCCTCTTCATCCATGGCTTTCTGACAAGGGGCTTCGCCGAAAACCCTCCTGGCCCGACCTGAAGTTTAACGTAATTCGAAGTTGCATTCCACGAAAACACTTTCCCCGAATTTAAATTAGAACCTGCAGCAAAAAATTGAATTATTGATGCATTTGTTCAATCAATATGCGACGGAATCTAAAATAAAAGCAAGAAAGCATAAAATTACTTTCAAATTTCTCCCAATCGAATCAGCCAATGATTATCGTAGAGCTCGAATATTTTATCATCTCGAATTGATGTTTGGAAAGTAGAATTGTTTGCTTGCTTCTGGTCAGTAGGTTTCAATATTTGGTGCCAAAGAATTCGCGGGTAACACTTGTGTTTTCGTCTCTTCTCATGAGCAAGTTTTATTGCCTGCTCCTTTTTCCTCCGTCAACTTTAGGTTTCAATTTGAAAACCTGGCAGTCCTGCCCAATAATTCATGTAGCAAGATTCTTTTTATTTTTTTATTTTTGCAATTAATATTTAAAAGATACCTTTCCACGTCACAGTGTCATCCAACAGGAAAAGACAGAGGTACAAATAGCAAAATTCAAGTTGGTATAATGTATTCAGTATTTTGAGACACTTACCTGGACGCCATGTGAGCAGGGGCTTTATATAATCCGGTTTGAGTTCTATTTTTTCATCAAAATATATTATTCCCATTTTAGTAACACACTTTTCAATAAAATAATATTACACGCAAATTAAAAAATTTTCTTTATTTTTTAATAACACATTTTTCATCATATCATTTTTAAAATGCATTTTTTTGAAAAAAAAGGGACTCAGACAACCCCTTAATTTAAAATTGATCTCGTGTCAACAGTGGGTATTCTCACTATGGCAATCCAGTAGGCAGGAAATCATGCCTTTTATTTAATTATGCATTTCATAATTGCATGACAAATGTCTAGTGAGGATTAGTCAACGGTAGTGATAAAACGAAGTTAATTGTATCGTCTAGCTTTATTTTGTGCAGCACATAACATGTCCCTTAGATCTGCAACTCATCTTTTACTGGCTTAAAAAGTCTGCATCTCACTGGATGTGAGCAATTCATCTGTCGTTACAAGCAGAAATGAATGAAGCCCCCATCAGAAAATTCTAGATTTTTTACTACTAATACAAATATCTTTGTTGATGGAGCACTAATTACCAAATGGGGCAACCAATTACCATCAAACAGTTGTTTACGGCAACAATATCAAAGTATTCTTCTAACGCAATGTTACATTCAACAGTGATCACTCAGGTGTTAGTGTAGNAACAGTTGTTTACGGCAACAATATCAAAGTATTCTTCTAACGCAATGTTACATTCAACAGTGATCACTCAGGTGTTAGTGTAGTCGACAACTACAATCAGGACACACGAAGCATTCAAGATGGAACTAAATATCACAAATTCATTATGACAACTGAAATTTAACCAGAACTTGATAGATAACTCAGCCTAGGGAAGAAAAATAAAAAATAAAAATCCTGTGACTTGTATCAAAACAAACAGACTTCTCTCTTCTAGTCGAACTAGCAACAACCGGGTTTGTATGTCAAGTAGAGTTCTAAGTCGCTTGGAGAAAATGGCAAAAGGGTACAAGAAAACGGTGCAATGATACCCAACAGGGGAAATCTCAAAAATAGCAGCTGAATTCAAGATAGGGAATAACTCCTGCGTGTGTAGAATGTCTATTCTCCCGGTGCTGAAACACCTTGCTTCAGTCTTTCCTTCTTCAACTTCTTCTTGGAGACGGGCTTCTTTTTCTTTGGAGGAAGGGTTTTCTGTGCATAAATGTAGAGTACATAGTTCCCAACAAGGAATAGCAACAGCAGCCCACCAACAAGAAGTAAGACAATCAATCCTGGGTTGAACCCCTTGGCTTCAACATCCCGGTCCACATTTTTCTGTTGATTCATCAGATGCCAAATGTAAATTAGTATTAAGATCAACAGATACCAGGGTACGAAATAGAATAATACAGTAAAACAATGAGAAAGCACAACCATAAAACAAAAGAAGAAATGCAGAAAGGCAATAACAATATCAAATATTCTGGATTCCATTCTCCAAAAGCACCCCATATCTGCTAATATCATATTAGCTCGAGAATAAAAGTTTCCATATGATTCCATTACAAAAGTATGTTCCAATGCCTTTATCTATAGAGAGTGACATAATGACTGATAACTGTATGAAACTTGATTATCCGCTGAAGACATAGATCAGTGAACTGTGAAATGAAGCAATAATAACATCTACACATGCAGGCTTTCGAATAAAATAGAAACAATAATATAAGTTGAAAGACACCAGTCAGTCAGAATATGGAATTATGGTTTGTTTTATCATAGTTTAATATTGATCCATGTTCCATAGGAAATTTTGCCCTTAATGTATCTTTCACCAGAAAATAAAATAATTAACTATATATATGCAACATCCAGCCTGCAAGGAGCCAACTTACTAAAATCTCAGAGAAGAAATTTTCAGCTCCACTCTGTCCTCTCAAATTAGAGAAACAAACTTATGTGAAGAGGCTACAGCACAGCACGTGCAAGCCCAATATGGGGTAGCATATATGGAAGTCAGGAATCACTAAAAGCATGGAAGAAGGATAAACCTATGGTGCATTTCTTCGTGTCTACAATAATTTTTGCCTGCTTCCATGATGGATATTTTTTCTGTAATTTAAAAGAATTGTATTCTAGTAACAGGTTCAAAACTGCATTGTGTGCTCCTTGCAGTGATTACTTTACGATTTGGTATCATGTTGAATAAGTTTTCTTGCCACCCAGTCATTGCATCTACAACACGTATTTTTGAAAGATTAGAAATAAGAAAATTTATCTGTAATATGCATTAGGATTTGACAGCAATTAACACCATTTGCATGCTGTTTCAACTTAGTGGCCCACCATGTTTTCCCTTGTAATCAGGAAGGTTTCAACATGTCCAACTTATAATTAACAATTTCGCCTAAATCCATTTCATCACCCTTTCCATTTCCAACAGATCAACAACCGTTCAAAGAGGGTCCCATGCTCGTATGCTCGTAAGGAAGGTGATTTAACTCAAAGAAGGACGTACTCTAGAACACAACCCAAGTTAAAGGGAAAATTACCCACAACAAGAAGTGGGAAACACATGAAGTAGAAAAGATTTTGACTCAGAATTTCATTCGTGATCATTTTATTACATAACATAACCACTTTGTTACTACACAAGCTTATGATAACAAACAATGAGATTAAAACTGAATCTCCAGTCAGGTAAAATTGGCTAGAGCAAACATAAAATGTTCGGCCTATAAATTACAAATAGGCAGGCCAGGAGGAGGAGAAAAAAGTGATGACCTAAATCTTGTTTGGTCTGGTATTTTTGAAAATGCATTTTCATAAACACGGTTAAACTTAAAACATAAAATTAAAACATCTTTTTTATGTTTTTAGTGTTTTCAGTGAAAACCCTCAAAATACCGAAAATAAGCGTTGAACTTCAAATTTATTTAAACAAAAATTCTACAAATAAAAATTCGAAAAAAATAAAATTTATAAAAAAAATAAATTTATAAAATTAAAAACTCTTACTGATTATTTAAATTAAAATTCTAAAAAAAAAAATTATTTAAATGAAAATGGATTAAAAAAAAAAATCAGTTTACCATATTAATTTTTAAATTTTATTTCCCATGTTTTGTCAACTCGATTTACTTTTTATTTGTATTTTACTTTTGTAACAAGAAAAAATTTGTAAGAGTC